TCCTCCAAAAGCGAAGGGGCGGGGCACGAGACTAAATATTTATCAGTAACTATTATGTTTACCTGTATAAACTATTATGATAACAACCATAATGACCACACCAGCCTCCAAAAAAGAATATTTCATTTCTAATGACAGCAGCAGCATATCCCTTGACACCAAGTGGAGGGTCACCAGTGGTAGGCTTTTGTGCCCACTCACCAGTTGGTAGGTGGCACACCTCCACTACAGAATACATTGATTTCTTCTTCTCATTATTGTGTACTCCAGGGAGACCAGGCTGGAGCCCACCCCACATGTACAGGTAGTCTCCTACCTGTACTGTAGAGTGCTCGCTCCTCTCCACTGGTTGATAGACTATAGATAAAAGAGGACACAGTAATATAGTGAATAGTTATAATAAGGAGAGGATACAGAGGAGTAAAGTAAGGAAGAGATAAGAAAGAAAGAGATATAAAGAGAAGATAATAAAGACACTCACTTTCTGAAGACATCTTCAAAACAACAGTGAGCCACCCCCCCACAATACCGTATCAACTCTAATTAAATGAATAAAAAGTAAAATTATAAAAATTACAAATCAAAAAAATCATTATTTTAGTGTCTTTCTCTTTTCTAATAAATTCCTATTTTTTCTCTTTTGTATTATAATGTAAGGTGGTTGTACTCTTGATGTGTACTAGAGACAGTCAGTGGATAAGAGAAGAGAGAGTGGGTGTGTCTCATTGTTACAATTCACAGTCTCTACTCATCTGGTAATGGGTAGTCCTGCACTGAAGCCAGACCCTTACTGCCTACAGTCATACCCAAATGACTGTAGGCTGGGGAGCGGTCTGGCTAGCGGGACTAGGTATTGGGGCCATAGACCATTAGGTTAATTAAATATTTTGTACAATTACTGAAATAAAATAATATGATATTATTAATATTCTTTGAATGTATTATTAATTGAATGAATTGCTGGTATACATAAAAATAAATCAGTATTATTTGAGGTGTTATTAATCAAATTTAAACTGAATTTTTAATAAATTTTTTTTAGTTGCATAAACCGGCTCCAAAATTTTGGGCTAGTGATGTATATGCTGTGTAGAAAGTTTGAGGTGATTCTAACTAAGTTACAGCGATTTTAATAAAATGCCAAATTCTGAAAAATACCCCCAAAATCATGCAGCCAAAATTTTTATTACATTTCCTGATTCATATTCTTTTGTCTATCATTAGGTTGGGAAGGATAAAGCTTTGGGCAGTAAATAACCTACTTGAAGTTATTCAGCCTTTTAGTTTTTATTATTGTTGTATTTTCCTATTCAGCAATTGTGTCTTTGCCATTAACACTTTCATTTGATAAATACTGTATAGACACTGTTAATCCTTGAATGACATATATTATTTAACAATTAATTTTTAAGAAAAAAGTACAAAAAACTAAAGAAAAACCTGCAATACTAGTACTAGTACTAGCTAATTATTGTACATGTACATACTAGTACATGCAAAGGCACATCTTATGTCCTATTGTACAGTTCATTATTACTTTACGTTAGTTCCCAGTCATTAAGACACATCTATGTCTTGATAGATTCCAATGATACTCCTCAGTTTGGGCGGCTTCAGATAATCCTTCAAGAACAGAGTAGGATTCACAACAAAGTTCCCAACAATATTTTCCAATTCTTTTTCAGCAGCTGCTACATCTGTTTCAATGAGTCCGGGAACTTGCCGCCACTGGGCAAGATCTTCAAGATTATGAACATCATTGTTCAGCTCCACCTTTCCTCCAAACACTTTCTTATAAATATCAGTATTAGCTGAAGCTATCTCTTGTAGCTTAGTAAAGAAAGATGGCGAGGCAGGGTCTTCAACTTTAATATCAGAAGCAAAATATTTCTCCTCATCAAGGAGGGTCAGGTGCTCTCTGAAGAGGTGACAGCGGAGACTGTGAGAGAACTTTCCAACCTCAAACTCTCCTCCATTCATAGTCCCTGGCTCCATTTGAGTGTCTTCAATGATTAGACACATCTCAGAGTCCCTCTTACCCATCATACTCCTGTCATTGATATTAGCTGATCCTATTACACTCACCCTATCATCAACTATCAGCACTTTACTGTGGACGTATATGGTTTCAGTCACTACCTTATCTCCCAGTCGGTCGTACTTACGCAGTCCATATATTGAGAAGTATTGAGGTATCTTTTCTTTAGGTACTCCGCTAGCCATCAGTCGGTTGTATAGCGAGTTCTTTCCAGTCTGGACTGTGGAGTAGTTCCAGTAACTAACTGCCTTAAGATCATACCCACTATCATCTTCCCAGTTACCAGCAAACTCTGGTTTCAGTGGCATTACCACTATGACATGAAAGTTCTCATTGTTCTTGTGAGCTCTAGTGATCCTCTCAGCTAACGTCTCAATTACATTATTATTGACCTTGATGAGTAGCCCGGGTTGTGAGGATATGAAGAACTGGTTCTCAATATAAATGAAGTGTTTAGCAGAAGAAATGAGGGAGAGGTAGGCATCATAAATGGAGTGTTCCAGTGGTTGCCGAGCTGACCACTGACTCACCGATCGAACCAGCTGTACCTTGACCCCAGCACCAGTTGGATCAGTTATCGTATGATCATGTCCTCCAATGGCTCCACGTGATAGTTTAGGGTGAGAGGCCAATCCTTTCTCCAGTGAGTTGTATCGTTGAATGAAGTGTTCCACTGCGTCTTGAACTGCCTGGCCAGTAAAAGTCACAGACACATCATGATAGGGTAGCCTATGCTCAGTATCTCTCTCAAGGTGATCTTCCAGTGGACGAGTGTAATCAGAGAATCCTCTTATGAAGGAGTTACGATAGTCCCTTCCAATCCACCTCCTGTACCTCAGTCCTCCATTGTCACTGGATTGTTCACTACCTAGGGACGGGTGGAGTGGATAGTTATCGGTCAGTGGGTGGCTGTGTATTCCCCAGCGTCCAAAGCAAAGGTCAATCCCGCCCACAAAAGCTATGGCCCGATCAGCCACCAGTACCTTCTCATGATGACTCCAGAGACCAATGCCTGGCAGTCCGTGGGTGATTGCTGTGAGGACGGTCGGGTGGGAGTGGATGTGAATGTTCTTATGGACAAGTGTCTTCATCGTGAAGGATACCCCAAGATTAAACCCAACCAGTTTTGCATCATCAAAGAGGAGTATGTATATCTTGACACCAGCCTCTGCCTTTCTTAGGAGCATCAGGTCCAGTCTCCAGTAGTTGCTGTCCACTCCATTATCTGGCCTCTTCATGAATATATGAGGATTGAGTATGTGATCTATGATGAGGATCTCTTTGGACGCATTCTCTATAGCATCAGCAATGGCTGACATGTGATCCTTACCATCTACGAGCCACTTCACAACGGCCTGCTCTCTCACTGGAGCGAATGAGCCGTAGCGGTGTTTGGATTTCTTATCTCCTCTCCAGAAGTAGAATAGAGCACCTAGTGCAAGGACAGAAGAGGCAGCAATGCTGGTCAGTATCACCCAGTACGCCATTGATCAGGAACAAAGAGAGAGAGAGAGAGAGAGAGAAAGAAGAGACACTGAGACAGGAACTTAACAAAGGAAGACTGTCTAGACAACCACAACCTCAACTTTAATTAGTGGGTAGTCTACTGTTAGTCTATGGAATAAATTTTCAATTTTCTCATCTGACATCAAACATTTTTTAGTTTCCATTGACTCTTGTAAATATGGTATCCTTCAAATACTTTTGCGTATCAAAAACAGGATAATAATATAACATTAATAATAATAATAGCACACACATTACGTTACACAGCTCATACTACCGCCCACACATTATAATCAAAGTCTATGCAGTGTAATGGGGAAGTTCTCAGTCACCAGATGATCATCCTGGAACACTATCACTATATTGGCCTCAAATTCAACTTTAAAAGTGGACGTACTAATAGTTGGACAGGTGAACAGGCGAGGAAAGATCATGAACAGTGGTATCATCACCCCACGGCAAACGTCCCCATCAGCTATTTGAATATTCTGTATCTCGGTCGGGTCCCTGGCATACCCCTCGGCACAGCCACAGGTCTCCACTCGTACCAGCTGTATCTCAATGGATCTAATGGGGGCGGAGCACCTCTCCACACAGAGTTCACCAGTGAAGGGTTTAGTGATACAGCAGTTGACAGTGTCTATTTTACCAGTGACCTTGAAATCAGGAACATTATTACGCTCTTTAACATTAGCTAGTGATTCCGGAGTGATGCAGAAATCAACAGGTTTATCCATTGCCTTTGTAGCAGAGTCCCCATACTCAACTATAAACTCAGACGTCTTCTGAAGATCCTTAGCGAGTAGAGATCTCTTCATATCACACCTCAGTGTGTAGGTTATGTTCACAAACACTCCATGATAAGTCTCGTGGAGTTTCTTGCCAGACTTTGGTTTCAGAGGCAGTTCAAACGGTATATCAGTGGTACCACTGGGTATCTTCCCTGGTTTAGCTAGCTCCACGCTGTACTGAATGATCTGTATTGGTTTCAATGAGTTGTAAAACGCCTCAAACATCCCAACACTCTTAGCGCTTAACTGAAGATTGACCGCTCCCTCCATCATGAGAGATAGCCCGTTATGAGTAATGCTGTCTTTACTGGTGATGGAGACGGAGCCTTTCACAGTGTCCCCTTCTTTATAGATCTTGCTAGCTCTTTTGAATTTTATCTCAAGAGACGCCATTTTCTATGCTTTGCAAACTGAGCCACACCCTCAGTTGTGGATCACATGATCTCTAGCCACGCCTTTTCACTAAAACGTGGGCGTTGGTAAAAGCAAAATGGCTGCCAGTACCAACTAAAAAGATTCACTGTAGTGAAGAAAAGGATAGACTGGGTACCTAGAATGGAGGATTTGCAGTCACGTGACTCTCACGTGATCCCTTTCTCCACTAATCCTTTTGATGATCTTGAAGATGAGGAAGAAGCCGAAGATGATCAGTTGGCCACGCCCATAATCAATGACCACGCCCACAAAGACAATAACCCATTCTCCTCCTCATCGACTGACCTTGACCTCATGACGGAACACTGGGAAGAACTCTCTGACCTCTTGGAGTCTCCGATATCGAACCCGTTTGCATTACAAGAATTCCAGCAGCACCTGGTATCAATCACTCGTATAATTGAGGGGGAGGAGCCTATCAGTCAGCAGACCACGCCCTGTATTGAGCTACTACTGAGCGAAAACATTCTTGAGAAACTTTACCTGTTCTCTACCAAACAGCGTAACTACCTCTCCGATATACGTCAGTCTTTACTGGTACTATTCAAGTCACTGCTCTCTCGTCCTGGTCAGCCATTGTTCATTCACCAGCAGGTCCTACGCCCACTCAATAGATTGTTAAGAGTCTGTGAAACGGCTAAAGACGACAAACTCAGTCTATCCATTTTATGTCTTCTTCATCAGATTTGTTTATTAATTCAAGAGAATGAGACATGTCTTGATCTGTTCTTTACCTATGGAGGAGGTCAGGTCCCGTCAAAGTTCTTCATCTTCTCTCACCTGGTGTCTCATATTCATGATGGAGGAGAAGGAGGGGCTAGAGCTAGGGACGCCATGTTGTTCTGTTTATCTGTCGCTGAGAGATCCTCCTCCTCTAGTTTGTGTGACTTTATAGTCAGTGACACTGATTTCTGTCAGGTACAATCATCTACAATAGCAAATGTACATGTACCAGATACAGTAGCTGGTAATTTTGAAGGGAGACATTTTGGTGAATTTAGTGTTTTGATAGCCAATTGTCAAAATAAGAATCCACCATTTTACCATTTTAAAATATAATGTACATGTTCAATAGCACATTCACAATAGGTGATACATGTGCATGACTCTTCTCTCCCTCCCTCTTCTTATACAGGTATTGGCAACTGGTTTGAGTGGTTTATATTCCTCCCTCCCGGTGTCAGTGCCACTGGTTGACAGTGAGTGGGTCTCTCCTCTCAATGAGTTGGAGGCATCAGTGCCGGAACTTAAGAACTTTATGCAAGCACTTTCATACTGCAACTCTGTACTCCAGGTAATGATACTAATTATTAATTAATATTATTATTATTATTATCGATAGATGGCTCCTTTATTAATTTGTCAAGCTGTTTCTTCGCTAATTAAAAACGGGTTTTTAAAACAAGTTCTTGGTCCAGCGATACTACAAGTAATTATAATAATAAATAATAAGAATATTAATAATTATTGTTTTTAGGCTTCAACTGACGAGGCTGCTGTTGCCATTGGTTACCTGTGTATATTTCTAAACAACATCACCAACCCGTCGTTAATGAAGATATTTTTACAGTTCCTGATGACAGGAGAGAGTGACGGAAGGAATGTCTGTAACATAGTAATACAATACATTAATAATAATATTAACAATAAGGTAATTAATAATAATTAATTAATATCATTATCATTCTCTCTTTTAGTTAGTTGCAATGTCTCTCGAGTTATTTTATATTTTAATTAACTTAAACTGCGAGGACGTGTTGCTATGGTTACTGCTCCAACACCTGTTGCTAGGCAACCACATACCCCCGGCCCAGTTGCCCTCTGTAAAAGTCCGAGACCACTACTGCGTGGGCCCCAAGAGATTACTTGAAATGATACCTTCCTGCTGCTCCAAAGCCGAAGAACTGTACTTGGAATCAATTTTAAAATCATCACCTCAGGCCAGCCGAGACTCCTCCCCTCTCAGGGACACACCCTCTTTAACGGACACGCCCACACGATTAGACTCTCCCGTCCTTGACTACAGAGACTCTCCGACTAGCATGTCCAGCAATAGCTCAAGCACTGCCTTTGTTACGACCACACCCATTGATTCTCTAATTAATGCCCAAGAGGTAGTTTTTGAATACATGAGTCCTCAAGAGTCTTACTATAACTACCTGCTTGAGAGCCGGGCCGCTATTGCTGATTGCGCAAGATCCTGTAGGGTGTGGTCTAGTTGCTATAGTAACTGTGTGACTAGAGACAATGGCCCCGCCCCTAAGGGGGACGATGGTTCAATGGTGAGTGACACTGGTCCGTTACTAGTCCCAACACTAACTAATGGATTGAGTGATGGGGAGGGATTGTCCCCCATCAGGAGGAGGAGGAGTAACTCACTTTATGTACATAATAATGAGAGGTTTAATGACCAGGTAATCTATTAATAGTAACGGATATTAATAATCTATTAATAGTAACGATATTAATAGTAACATCATCATTATTATTATTATTAATAGGTTGGTTTGTTTATGAAGGTTCTAATGGAGAGGCTCTCCCAGTATTTATCCAACCCTCCGTTAATTAATGAGTTGTTAATTAAACTAATAACAAGACTAGCTCATTACCCACAGCCGCTGATAAGGTCCTACCTACTCAACCACCACCTGATCTTCAAGCCAGGGATTCCTAACCTACTTCAAGTACGTTAATAATGACACTTCAATTCTCTTTGTATGTGTGTGTCAGGAATTGTAATGAAAATGGAGAATTATCTCCTTTTCAATTTTGGTCAAATTTGGCCAAAGTCCCTGTACTATAGTACAGGGAGTTTGGTTGGATTTCTTTCTACACATATATGTATAATGTATTGTTATTATTATTATTATTATTATTTATTAATTATTATTATTATTATTATTATTATTATTATTAGGTTCTTCAAGGTATTAAGGTATCAATAGATTCTTTAGCGAAGGAAAGAGCTGAGAGTTTCCCCTCCAGATTAGGACGAGCGAGAAAGACTCTGATATTCCAAGCAGCTGTTACTAATGGAAGCATCAGTGAGGAGACTGCAGCTGCTATATCAGCACAATTCAGATCAAGATCAGACTCACACCTTTCAGACACTCCATCAAAAGACAATGAAACGACAAATAACAAAGGTACTGTACCTAACGTACCAACTGGTGCATATTGATGTCCTTATGCTGTGTAGAAAGTTTGAGGTGATTCCGACTTCTATTATTCAAGTTACAGCCATTTAAAAAAAAAACAGCAAAAATACCCAAGGCTATAGTCCATGGTTTTTTCCAAAAAATGGCTCTGAAATCATTCCAAATTTTTATTACATTTTCTGATATATATTGATGTCCTTACGCTGTGTAGAAAGTTTGAGGTGATTCCAACTTCAATTTTTCAAGTTACAGCCATTTTAAGAAAACGGCAAAAAATTCTGAAAAATACCCAAGGCTATAGTCCATGGTTTTTTTCAAAAAATGGCTCCAAAATCACCCCGAATTTTTATTACATTTTCTGATACATATTGATGTCCTTATGCTGTGTAGAAAGTTTGAGTTGATTCCAACTTCAATTTTTCAAGTTACAGCCATTTTAAGAAAACGGCAAAAAATTCTGAAAAATACCCAAGGCTATAGTCCATGGTTTTTTTCAAAAAATGGCTCCGAAATCACCCCAAATTTTTATTACATTTTCTGATACATATTGATGCCCTTATGCTGTGTAGCAAGTTTGAGGTGATTCCGACTTCAATTTTTCGAGTAACGACCATTTTAAGAAAACGGCAAAATTCTGAAAAATACGCAAGGCTATAGTCCATGGTTTTTTCCAAAAAATGGCTCCCGATCATTTTAATAGTACAGAAGTAGTACATGGTCAGCTGCCAAATTTTGCTACAATGACTAGGAAGGAATACTCCATTTTTATTCCTTTTCTTGATGCGGAAACATGTACTTAGTTGTAGTTTGTAGTAAAATTCCTGTCATGCTATTGTAGTTGGTACTAATAATTTAATTAAGATTTCCTTCACTTGTAACAAGGAATGCTGTACACTATAACAATAATAATTATTATTAATCATCAATATTATCATTATTGGTTATTATTATTATTATTATTGTTAGATGAGCCGGTTTCAAGGCGTAGGGCCCTCACTGAAACTGGTAGGAGGAGAATAAAGAAGAGACACAAGGTAACCATTAACATGGTATTCTCTATTGTCATGTTTGGTGAGTGGATGAAGGAACTAGCTTCGTTAGCTCAAGAGCACTCTGTCGTCAATCCTGAACTACTGATCATCAATGAATGAATATTGCTATCCTTTTTTTAATTTTGTGTTTCAATAATTAATTATTGTTTAATAGACGTTATTTTTTATAATTATAGAAAATCATTAATTTATTGCAAAGACATCTAATCAGAAATTGCACATAATAAAAATAGCAATAATTAATAATAATTAATTACTCGTACTAACACTGACTGATTGACCCAATATGATGATAAAGCTCTTGTGGAGTTTTCCTTAACTTTCCATTTGGGATGGAATATTTCGTAGAATCAAAGCAAATAAACTTTTCATTTTTAAAGAGACACACCCTTCCCTCATGTGAGTCCATGGCGTCCAAGCGTTCATTAAACTGATCCGTTAGCTGCCCCCACTGTCCCTGGAGCTGCCGGGGGTATCCAGTGTCCACTGTCCCTGGTAATCCGTTGGATAGACGAATGTACATAGACGAACGTGAGAAATAAAACTTTTTGTCATGAAGTAAGGCAGCGGAATCAAACCCACTCTTAAACGAGGTAGGAAGGTTACGAATCAGTTTATTAATATGACCAGAAGTAGGTGAATCATCGCTCATCGACTTGTAGTGAATGTACTGATCACCAGCTGTAGCGTACATACTACCGTCTGATAGAAATAGAATCGTATCAAAACCATCTTCAAATTTACTGGGTATGGACCCCCAATGGTGCTTTATCAGTTTAGGATAATTACACAATAGCTCCCCATTCAAGTACTTGACATAAACTGTACCACGAGTGATGTATCTGTACTCTCCATAACTACCAGCACTATCAATCCCATACTCCACTGGTAGGACTGTTATGAAATACAGTCCATAGTTGGCTGCATTCTCCACTGCCCTTGAAGGACTCTGCTTAGCTAATGAGAGACACTTCCTCACTCCATAAGCAATATCAATAGTGTACCCCACAGCATGAGTCATCTCGTGGAGGAGAGTATTGAGCTGAGAGTAAGGATGTATAATGTATGGTAACTTATACTGGATGGGACAGAGTACAATCAGTCTGGACCTATGCCAAGTGTATGCCAGTACTCTCTTAAGACAGTGGTGTCCATCATAATGATACATGAATGGCCCTGATGTTATTGCTGTCTTTATGTCTTTAAATATATTCCTAACTCTCTCCACATTCCTTGTACTCCTTGCTCCAAACCACCTCACATAGTGTGAGTGGTCCCTGTCAACTGATGCTATGGCTGGATCAAGATATGTGTACACTGTTTTATGTACTTGCAGTGTATTGGCAACATTAGCTGCTAGAGATCCAAACCCATCAAATAAAGGTTTACAGACTCCTCTATATACATCAATACATCTGATTCTACCAGTAGAATACTCCTCTACTATATCCCCTACTGTTTTAAGAGCTGCTCCATTTCTTCTTTGAACGTGTACTGCAGTTGTAGCTTTTGGTGCAAACCGGTAGGTGACAGTTGATTGTTGCATCAAGCCATCAGTATGTTTATATAGAAGAGATCCAGTGTACACTATTGTATATGTACCAGGAGCCTTCATATCATAAACACTGCTAATGTCCACACTGACTGATATAACTTCATTCGGTTGTATCATAGTCCATTCATCCTCTGCAGGTCTCATTCTTCTTAGATACAATCCCTTATATGGTAATCTTTTACTACCAAGCTTCACTGTTAGAAACTCAGAGAGGATTCCTTCTAGTGGAGTATCACGAGTGAGTATAAGGTACTGCTTGTGATTATTGTTATTAGTGACATTGAAGACACAGTCAGTGGATGAGCTATAGACACTGCAGGAGGAACTGAGATTCAAAGGATGAGAGGATGAGCCTTTCCTTTCCTGACCAGTTGATAAGGTGATGCGATCCAAAGAAGAATATCTAAAATAAACAAATTATCCATCATTAATTTTTGCAGCTTGTTAGTATTATTTTTAAGACAGGACATGCAGTGTTAAAGGAAGCACTGTTGCTGTTACTTTAAAGATGCTATGGAGTTCAAATTAAAGTCAGGACAAACAGCAATAATTAGCAAATGCACCGCAAAGTGATTATTTTTTAAAATTAATTTTTGCAAGTGTATACAAGCTGTTACTAGCAGTTAACAGCAAAACATAGAGTGTAAACCAGCCAATACTAGTACGAATTTTGGAGAGAATGCATGAGCTTCATTTTCACTTTGAACTTCACTTTAAATTAAGTGAGAACAAGTTGTTATAACCTCACAAAGTGTTAACCAACCACACCTAGTTACTGAAAGAGGTGATCTTACCTGAGTCTCTTGCTTATTTCTTTATCAATGGCAGAGAATCCCTCGCCTGATAAAGAGAGAGAGAGAGAGGCAGTCTATCACAAACTATTAATGACAGTTTTTACTTTCAGAATCTTCTTCTCTTGAGGTATCAGTCAACAGACAGGAGGTCAGTCTAAGGCAGAGCAGTATTATTATTATAAAGGACACTAGTCCTTTCCCGTCCATCCTTAGCAGGGCAGCCAAACAGAGCAGGACAGAACAGGACGTAATGGGAATCGTTTTGGCTTCAAAAATGCCAAGAAGTTTGCGTAGGAGCCCGCGAGACATATCTACGCATGCGCAAAAGGTTGAGATTCAAATTAATTTTATTTTAATTTTTAAAATGAATTTCGATTTATTTAAATTTACTGATAATGTGCCAATGAGTACATAAATAATAATACACAGAAAAAGAGAGAGAGAGAACTAGATCATACATCAACAGTAATGTGGTCATCAATAGGATGAGGTAGGTGAGTTGATTGTTTGTATGTGATGGAGTGCCGTCTGTCCCGTGGGGTCACTGAACCAACAGGTCCAGGCCCATGATGATAATGTCCGTATCTTTCAACTCCTCTGATCTTAGGGTAGGAGTTCTGTCTGTAGAAGTAATGAGAAGGAGGCTCAGGCCTTAGGCCAGGGTTGATGGCTGGGGTTGTGTTATAAGTCTTTAAGTGTCTGTTCTTCAAGTGTTTAGCAGCAGGAGCAGAGGAGGAGAGAGGGGGAGGGGGTGGTCTGATGGAGTCCTCCCCACTAGCCTCACTCTCCATTGAAGAGGTGGTCTCCTCATCATCAACCAGTTCCCTCCCTCCTCCTCCTCCAGCTGGTCCCTCCAGCCCATTCTCACCATTACTACCACCAGTAGGCTCATCCTCCTCACTGTTAGCCCGTACTGTCTCATTATACTGTACCCTTGTATCAGAGGAGCGTCTAGTGCCCGCGTTACCATGACGATATGAATAATAATGAGCCCCACCCCTATTATTAAAGTAGGCCGGGTCAGTGTCAGAGTAGTATGGGTCATGGTATGAGTCAATGTTCGTTCTGTGGTATGAGTCTGATTGGTACTGGTCTGAGTCTGGGTAATGATATTCGTAAAGTTCGATCCCCTGGGGGGCGGGGTAATTGTATCTCTCATATTGAAGGGGGCGCCCCCTTTCCTCTGCTGTACCGCGGTACGGACTATGGTAGGATACTGGATAACGGGCCGACCTACCACTACCTGGACGAGAATAATAGGAACTGCCCATTCTGTAATGATCCCTCTCAGCCTAGTAATAAACAAACAAACAAATTAATTAATTAATTAATTAATTAATTAAATGTGTTTTTACTTCATTATCGATGAAGCTTGCTGCTTCTTGTGCTAGTTTTCTTGCTGACTCAGCAATGGCTGCAGCTGTTGCTATCCTGGAAGCTCTTTCAGGATCACCAGGAGTGAGCACTGTAACACCAACCTGACAATAATAATAACAACAATTTAAAATTGAGGAATCTTCTTCAGGGTAAAAGTTAACAAAAAACTCTGCACTAGAGTATAGATATTTTTTTACAATTTAGGTGTATTCTTAAAATAGCCATAACTTGAAAAATTGAAGTCGGAATCATCTCAAACTTTCTACACAGCATAGGTACATGCACTTTATCATCATCATCATCATCATCATCATCATCATCATTATTATTATTATTATTATTATTATTATTATTATTATTATTAATTACTTCCACGACAGCCTCAGAGTCAATCGAAGGGTGGACCCTGTAAGATACTCCAGTTCTTCCTGACCCACTGGACTCCACTGACACCATAGACCCAGCTGGTCTCATCCCTCCCTGTACGTCCGGTAGACTGGTCACACGGACCATGGGACCGCGGGGTCTACGGGACGACCGTTCATTAGGAGATGAGCGATTGGGACTGGCCCCGCCCCTCAATAACGAGGTGGAGCTGTTGGATGATACACTGTTAGCACCGGGCTAGGGAAGAATTAATAACCATTAATAACTATTAATAACTATTAATAACTTACTCTCAGTGTATCGCTGGATGTTGAGCTCAGTCGTGGTGAAGCTCTGACTATCCTGCCGTTAGCCCCGCCCACTCCATTGAATCCCCTCACTGACTGCTGGGAGGAGTTGGGGGAGGGGATGGGAGTAGAACCACCCGATATGGTAGGCATTGAAGACCGGATACTGGAACTAATAATAATAACAACAACAATAATAATAATAACAATAATACTACTAATAATAATAATAATAATAATAACAATAATAATAATAATAATAATAATAACAACAATAATAATCTAGAGATTACGTGTACATTTATTATAAGGAGGTAACAGACACTCCAGTTATCTAGTCTGCATAGTAATTAATAATAATTAAATTAATTAGTATCATTACTATAAAAACAATAATGAGCTTACGAAAACAATAATATAAACATTAGACCAGAGGGACACTTTGAAAGTGTCTCTCTCCGTTTAATGGAAATGTATGATTGAACATGTACTTATAACTATTAATTAACAAACCACACCCACTTACACATTATTGGTATTGTTGCTTCCCCTCAGTGACTCATTGTTATTATTGGCAGTGGGTGGAGCAGTCATCAGTCCAGGTGGGGTACTGTAGCGTGGTTTAGTTCGGAGAATACAGGCACAGACTAACACACAGAGGACCACCAGTACGGCAAGGACTATCAACAATATGTACCAGTAGTCGGATAACCAGGACTCAAAACTGTAGAGGAGAGAGAGAGATGGAAATGACAAAGGAAGTGTTGAGTCTATGAAGTATAATAACACCTTTTTATCTCTCTCCCTCTCCCTCTCTCTCCCCCCCTCTCTCTCTCCCTCTCTCTCCCCCCTCTCCCTCTCCCCCTCCCTCCCTCTCTCTCTTGTATTTACTAATAAAATAGATTACTCCAGTAGTTCATACTGATGTTCTCCCCAGTCAGTTAGTGAGTACATTAAAATAACAATAGCATAACTCAATTAGTGATTAGTGATTAGCCCCCACTCTTCTTCTCTCATTCTTTCACCCTCTCTCCCTCTTTTTCTCTCACCCTCTCCTCCTCTTTAAATATTTTAGTGTCAAATTTAATTGTAGCAATTTCCTCCCCCTCTCTCCCCCTCTCCCTCTTTTCCCCCCTCTCCCTCTCTCTGTCATAAAGTAAGTTCTAGAGAGAGTTGAAGAGGCTCTTAGTTAGCCCTAGGTGTCATAAAGTCTCCAATATTTAGTTACATGTAGATTGATCTAGTAAACTGACAATTAGTAAAAATGGTACAGTACTGATGTACAGGTACAGTATAAACAATAAATAATATTAATAATGTATCATAGTATGCACTGTATATTTATTGTAATAACAATACTGACCACTAATTAACCAAAATAACAATCACTAATTATTATTAACCTCGTTATGACTCATGATAACAAAACAAGAACATGACCACATTAATAATAATAATAATAATAATAATAATAATAATAATAATAACAACAAAATAATAACAAATAAATAAATGAACTACAACAATAATTATAATAATAAGCATGGCCCTCTAAACACACACTCCCCCTCATTATCTGCTATTATCAGATACATGTACATGTACATATTAGCTTCTAGAAATAACTTCTTGTAAGGCCAATCTAACTAATAATGGAAGACTAAAGGACCCCTGGGGCTAAATATGAGACACCAAAAGCTGACAAATGGTAGATATCAGGAGGCCTAGATCAGATATGGTAGGCCAGTAGTCTCCCAGGCTCCCCCTAGGCCTACCAGTGAGTCTAAGGACCAGTACTAGTCTCACCTCTGCTGTCCTGTCCCGCCAGTGCTGCTAGTGGTACTGGTTCCATTGATTGATTGACGGGGAGAGTGACCCTCCATTAACTCTTAGAATCTCTTCTGTAGACTAGAGAGGGAGGGAGAGAGAAGGTTAGTTTTATATCATTCTGTCACTCCTTTCTCTCTTCACTGGTCTATTAACACTTTACTGCTACAAGGGGAAACTGACCAATCAAGTACCTTCACTCACGTGTAGTCTTTAGTAAGAAAATATTTTGAAAACTTGATTTTATAAATAGTTACGGTACACTCTTAATTAAAATATTTACGGTATACAAGTAAACCAAGAAACTAGCTACAATAAAGAAGACAGCAAGAAAATTAATTAATGAATTAATTAACACACTCTCTAATAATACAAAAAGGGAGAAACAAGAGACAGAAAAATAACAACATTACAACAATAATAATAGCAATTGATTCTTCTTATACTAATTTTGTTATTTTATTGAGAGCTTCAGACAGTGTGGGCCGTCGAGCTGGTTCAAAAGACAGCATTGATGTTACTATATTTGGAAACTCAGGAGGGAACTTCTGGCCCCGCCCAGTCTATAAATAGACACATTATTCTAAAAATAGACCCCAATAGTTCATACCTTGCTGTAGGTATCAGTTAGCCTCGGCAAGGTCCTCTCATCATAGGCCCTCTGGTCTTTACTGCCGCTAAACGGGTTTTGATATCCTGCTAGTTCATAAGCGAGGACTCCAGCGGCCCATACTGGCTGTTTAGTATAGTCTAGGACTCTACCACGACCTGTTCTTTGGTTCAGTATCTCTGGAGCCAGGTGAGCCTCATTGCCTCCTTTACTGCAGGCTGGAGGGAGGGAGAGGGAGGGAGAGGGAGAGAGGGAGGGAGAGAGAGAAAGTGACAATGTTACAACTGTTTCTTCTCACGTCTATCAAAAGGTATCTTGTAGTCTGGCTCAAGTTTAATGGCTTCGCCAAAATCAACAATTTTAAGAATATCTCCAGACAACATGAGATTCTCTAGCTTAAGATCCCTAGAGAGAGGGAGGAAGAGAGGGAGGGAGGGAGAGGGGTTAGTTTCAACTTTCAAGTAATCAGTACTGCATCATTACCTGTGGAGGACATAATGAGTAAAGAGATACTGTAGGCCAGTCAAGAGGTCCTTCAACCAACCCAGGACTTTAGAATACTAATAACAATACAATACACTGTCACTTCACTTTATCATTAAAGGACGCTCTCTTACATTAGGACCAGCAGTTTGTCTCAACGGTTTGAGCTGGTACTCCATATTCTGTGAGAGTTGCTCCATCATTATACAAAGAGCGATCCCTTCACTACAGTTCTCTCGGCTCAACTTTGGATGAGCCTTTGGTCTGTCGTAGAAGAAAGCAAAGAGCCTGACAATGTTCTTATGAGGAGGAATGGAGGAGAGGACCTCATACTCATTCTTGTGCTGATCTCTTGCCTAAAACAATTAATAGTTATTAATAGTTATTGATGCTACTTATGTTGTACAGTTAAAATTTGAATTTGCTTCAAAATCAGGCCAGAGTACTAAGTACATGTACAGGGTCGCATGCCGAATTTCAGCAAAAATAAAAAGGAGAGAATTCTCCACATACATTTGTCATTGTAGTGGTATCATGTACTCCAGACAGCATCTTGAGTGCATAGACTCTGTCAGGATAAGGCAGACCTGGTTTGATACACTGAGCTCGAACCACCATCATACTCCTGCCTTCAGCTAACTTACCTCTTGATATAACACCTAACTGTAGAGGAGTGGAGAGAACATGTAAAGTTACATATCAGAAACTTGTTACATAGCATAAGGACATCAATATGATCAGAAAAAGTAATAAAAATTTGGGGTGATTTTGGAGCCATTTTTTGAAAAATATAGCCTTGGGTATTTTCAGAATTTTGACATTTTTTCAAAATGGCTGCAACTTGAAAAATTGAAGTCAGAATCAGCTCAAACTTTCTACACAGCATAAGGACATCAATATGTACATGTACTATTTATAATTATTATAATAATTATTAATTACCACTTCAAAATCGTCCAGTGTGCAGGTGTACAGCATTCTCGTCTCTAGGAGTTCATTCTCAAGTTCCTTAACTTTAGTAAAACTGTCACCTCCTCCTCCTCCTCCTCCGAATAAAGGAACACGCCCAATACCACCGCCCCTAGACTATAAACAATATATACAACAAGTAGTTACCTAGCAACCATTGCTAAGCAACAGTTACAGTTGCCTAGCAACCAACGTTATGTACCTTCAGTGCTGCTATTTCCCTGTTCTTCCTGGCCAGTTCGTCTTCCAGTGATTCTCTCATGACATTAATCTCTTCAATGTTCCCCTGAAGCTGCTCCACCTTCCTCCTCAGTTTGATCACCTCTCCATTATCTGATGGACCAGTGTCTGTTGGTTTATTAGAGTAGAGTATACCAGAACTGTGTCTTTGGGAGGAGGAATAACTGGAGGGGACGTAACTGGTGGAAGGCTAAGGGAAAGAAGGATATAATTATAAATATAAAGGACACAGTGAAACAGTTATGAGACAAACAAGGCTATACTGATAATAATGACAATAGCACTAGTTCATTCTCACCCTCCCTCCTCCTCCATCAGTTTGGTCCATTTTGGTCTTGAGTGATGGCACGTTTGCTGTTAGTTTCTTGATGAGATCTTCTCTTGAAGTACAGCCAGCATAGCTTAACCCAAGGTCGTCCATCTTATCCTTGATATCCCTTATCTTAGCGTTATTAAGATCCATCCTCATCAGCTCATCAACAGCGTATGATTTCAACCTTGCCTTCTGCTCACTCGCTTTAGCTTCTTCTGCTTTCTTCTCAGCTTCAATTCGCTTCCTTCTCTCCTCCTCCAGTTCCTTCTCCCTTGCCTCTTTCTCCTTTCTCTCCTTTTCTGCTTTCTCTTTTCTCAACTTCTCCTCATACTCCAGAGCTGCTTCTCTTCTCTTCCTCGCTATATCACTAGCCATTGCTCCTGCTAGCTGCTCTGCAAACTTCTCTGCCAGTTTGAGCTTCATTCTCTGGTCAATAAAGTCTTGAATGATCTTCTCAAATGCTCCTATTCTTAAAGCCATTTTAATCTCCTCCTCCCCCTCTGCCTTCTTGATCCTCACCCCATCATCATCAAAGAATAGTATAACCACTGAAGGGGTGAACCTGATACCACCTAGATCCTGTCTTAACTATAATAAATAATAATAATAATAATGATATCAATTATTATTATTATTATTGATTATTATTAATATTCATAGCTCATAAGTTCATAGTAACTCATGAATAATTCATTAATATTCATTTATTACGATGACAATAAAAACAGATCATAATGTAAACACAAAGTTTCATTATACATGAACTATACAAGTAAACCTGGGTACATGTACATGTATATAGAAGGGAATTTGGCATCAGTTAGACAGAATGAAAAGTATTAACAGTACACAGTATAGACTGATGGTACAGTATAGACTGATGGTACAGTATAGACTGATGGTACAGTATAGACTGATGGTACAGTATAGACTGATGGTACAGTATAGACTGATGGTACAGTATAGACTGATGGTACAGTATAGACTGATGGTACAGTATAGACTGATGGTTTGTATTAGATCTATCTAGTTGTTATTGACATGGAGCATGTCAAGAATGAAGAAGAACACACAATTAACCGACTCACCTCATCATAAGTCCGGCCCAGTCCGATCTTAGCTCTAAAGAAAGGAATCTGAGGTACTTCCCTGGCCAGGTTAACGATATGAGGCTGCATTCTTCTTGAAGGAGGATGAGAGTCATCAGTCACTTCAACACATATCACCATGTTCTCCTCTTTACAGGTTGAGTAGAGTTTACGCCAGGCCTGGAGGGAGTACATTATAAAGTATAACAATACATGTACATGAACAGGTCTATATTACTATCCTTTAATATTTTAGTGACACAGGTACTGCTACATGTAATTGTATTATTTTATTAACAATTCTCAACAAGTGCTAATTGGTATCAAGTGTGCTGGTATTTATAGCAATCAGTTTACAAGTATATTATCCTGTATCAGTAACTACTAATGGCCCGCTGCTTTAAAGTCCAGCGGTTGTTTGGTTGTACAGTACCTGTGCGTCTGGTGGTATTATAAAGAAGTTATCAGGAGGTGGTCTGTTAGCCTCTGCTGCCTGGCGGGCCATGCCAGCAGCTAGAGCATCAGCTAATAACAGATCCATGAGATTCATATTGAAAGAGAGAGACAGACAGACAGACAGAGAGAAACACGAAGAGAAGAAAGAAAGAGGATAAGGCAAACTGCCCCGCCTGTAATGAATGTAATACGCACGTTAATGAATTTATAATCAATGGGTGGGGCTTGAGTTTATTAATTAGCGAGTGGGCGTTAAACAGAGAAGGTGCGCCTGGTAGGCGTGGTTAAGCCCACGTGTAAACATGAGGGTCAGTGTCTTTTTATGTAAAAGAGCCTCTTTGAACTGGCCTCCGTGTGTGGGCCTGGAGATACATGCTCAGATATGTTCAAGGGACAAGATATTCTCAACGGGGCCTGTGGGATCACATGATCCCTCTCCAAACTCCTCCCTCTCATTGTTTGACGTGGCAATACCTGGGACAATGCCTGTAAGTATTGGTCACGTGATTCTCACGTGATCTAATTACACAGGTCATTAATAAAGACTGTGTCAAGGCCGGAGTGTTAACTGCATTAGCGTTAAGATCAAGAATCAACTCTCGGTCGTATTTTGATAGAAAGCACTACTTTTATCCTGATTTACCGGTAATTAATTAATTAAGACTACTAATTGATTAATTAATGTTACATTGATAGGGTGGGTACCAGATTAGTCAGAATCGTGTACCGTTAGCTGTAGGTGGATACTTATCAGTTTATAATAACAATAATCAGTTAATTAACGTCTCAATAAAACAAGTACAACTGGAACAAGACAGTGGTAGGATATTACATGTACATTTATTATTGATTTATTTATTTATTTTTAGGTAAAATAGTTTTTGGTGAAAAGACAATTGAAGGACACGATACCCTACTGGACTATAAAAGAGCTGGTAATAATAATAATAATAATAATAATAATAATAATAATAATAATAAATTAATAATAATAATTAATTGTTATTAATTGGAAGGTGTTGGACTGATGGAGATTGTGACTGATCCTGTTCTAATTGATGGATCATCTGCTGCTAATTTTATTCGAGAGCTCCGCCTACTTTTAAAGAGGATTGGAACGTGTGATGGAAACATGGCGGGTGAGTGAGCGGGGTTATTGTCATTATCATTATTATTATTATTAATAGATGGGTCGTTAAGAGTTGATGCTAATGTGTCAGTGAGAGAGACTGGTTCTGATGGAATGGGAACAAGAACTGAAATTAAGAATATCAGCGGAATCAAGTTCCTTAAGAAAGCTATTGGTAAGCTCATTAATATTCATGAGCTCTGTTACTATTTTTAGATTACGAAATATGGCGACACATACAGGTGCTAAGCAAAGGAGGCGTGGTTTTACCTGAGACTATGCGCTATGACGAAAGGAAAAAGTGAATTAGATTAATTAATTATTTTAATGATATTCATTGCAGTGTGACCACACCCACAAGAGGGAAATCCTCACATCAGGACTATAGATTCATTGAGGAACACGACCTACCAGCTTTATTAATAGAGAGGGAGGGGCTGGTTGATGAGTGTAGGAAGATACTGGAGGAGATACCAACTGATAATGTAGTGGAGTCATTATCACTGAAATACGGTAATTATAATAGTTAATATTAATTAATTATTTATTTATTTTAATTAGGAATCAGTTTGTATGATGCACAAGTACTTGAGGTATCAATCAATTAATTCATTAATTAATTAATAATTATTGTATTATTATTATTAGAGTGAAGATTGGGCTATAGACTTATTTGAAGAAGTGATGACACAGTAACCAGTTAACCACACACTAACCACACACTAGTCATTAATTGTAATGTATCATATAGTGTGATATGATCATTGATCCATTAGGTGTCCTCAGCTACCAGTTAAGTTAGTAATCTCTTGGATAACATCAGAACTGTATGGACTCATTAATGACAGAGACGGAATGAATGTGTGTGTAGGCAACTTCATGAGTTTACTGATCCTGTTCAATCAGAATGAACTGACTGGGCCACAGGCTAAAAAAGTAATGGAAACAATAGGAAGGAAATATGCAACATGAATAGATGTATATGCATTAGAAAATGCATCAATTTTGGTAAAATCACCTCAAACTTGCTACACAGCATAAGGACATTAATATGTATTAGAAAATGTAATAAAAATTTGAGGTGATTTCGGAGCCATTTTTTGGGAAAAAACCATGGACTATAGCCTTGGGTATTTTTCAGAATTTTGATGTTTTCTTAAAATGGTCGTAACTCGAAAAATTGAAGTTGGAATCACCTCAAACTTGCTACACAGCATAAGAGCATCAATATGTATCAGAAAATGTAATAAAAATTTGGGGTGATTTCGGAGCCATTTTTTGGAAAAAACCATGGACTATAGCCTTGGGTATTTTTCAGAATTTTTTCGTTTTCTTAAAATGGCCGTAACTTGAAAAATTGAAGTCGGAATCAACTCGAACTTTCTATACACTATGAGGACATCAATATGCATCAGAAAATGTAATAAAAATTTGGGGTGATTTTTTGGCCATTTTTTGGAAAAAACCATGGACTATAGCCTTGGGTATTTTTCAGAATTTTTTCGTTTTCTTAAATTGGCCATAACTTGAAAAATTGAAGTCGGAATAACCTCAAACTTTCTACACAGCATAAGAACATCAATATGTATCAGAAAATACAATAAAAATGGAGAATTCTCAAATTTTTATTTTTGGAAAAATCTGACCAGCGACCCTGTACTAGGGACTTTGACCTGATTTTTGAAAAACTTAAAAATACATTTAAATGATCCAAATTTGATGGAAATTAGCTACAACTTTCTATATGACATAAGTACATGGCATTAGGAAATTTAATAAAACTGTCCTTGCCTTTTATTGTTGCAGATATTACGATTGATGGTTAAAGGTGATTCAAGATCTCCTATTGATATTCTTCATGACATTCAAACTGCCCATTACTCTCACACTGATATTGTTGATATCTGTGAAACAATATTAACTGAACATAAGGAAGAAGTAAGTCATTCATTATTAGTATCATTACTATTATTATTATTATTATTATTATTATTGTCTCTGCTCTAGGTGAGTGAGTACATCAGTGGTAATGATAGGAGGAGGAAGCTGCTGTTTGGATTCTTCATGGGAGAGGCTATGTCTCTCACTGGTAGAGACTGTGATCCAAAGGAAATAAAAGGAATATTATTGGAACTGTTGAACAACAAAATGTAATGAAAACTGTTTGTATAAACTGAGATAGAGTAACTGAAACTTTCTTTTGCAGTTACTGTTTCAATATAATTATAATTAAATAATGATACATACAGCACAGTACTGCTCTATCATTGTTATTATATGAGACCAACAGATACCATAAACTGAACTGTTGGTATGCAATCATTACCTCATTAAAAGGACATGAAGTAGTAGTATATGCTGTCAGTGAGTAGGTGTACTAGTTAGTGCTCAATGAAGTTATAAATACAGTACCAGTGTTAGTCACTGAACAGCAAAACTGAGTAGATAAAGGACACCAGCAGCAGAGAAAGATCAGAATAAATCAAAATGGTATGGAACAAGACCCATATGCTAGTACCTATATTATGTTCCTTCTTTTCCCTACAGCCATTGACTGATGAACAAAAGGCTGAATTAAAGAAGAAGTTTGATTCATTTGACGTTGATAAGGATGGCACTATCAGTATAGCTGAGCTGAAGGCAGTCTGTGAGTCCATGGGACTCAATAAGAGCGAGCTGGAGATAGCTGAATATATTGATAGAGCTGACAAGGACGGGAGTGGTACTGTTGATTTTGATGAATACTGTCAGCATTATGCTGAAATTGATGAACAGAGAATGTGGGAACTATTTCAAGTTAGTTACCAGTACATGCATATATTGTATATGAAAGTTCTTTGATTGCATTAACCTGATGTTAATACAGAAATATGACACTAAGAATGGGACAGAGGAAGGCAATGGATATCTTGACCTGGAGGAACTTACTGCTCTAGTGAAGGACCTCAATTTTAGAAACATCAAAAAAAGAACAATCAAATACTTTATGAAACAACTTGACACAAATGGAGACAAGAAAATAAGCTTTGAAGGTAAGACATAAGTAATGTCCCAATTAGTAGAAAAGTACCTCTGAAATGAGGACACCTCTGTATTAAGGACAGGTAGTGTGGGCCCAATTGGTGTCCTTAATAAAGAGGTTATTGTTATTTACTGTATTTATATCTCATTACAGAGTTCAAGGCAATGAACAGAACAAAACTCATGAAGAAATAAAAGTAGCTTCATCTCAAGGTGGAGATCATTATTGACATATTTTTGGTTTTTAAATTAATTATCAGTTTAAAAGTTTGCAAACAATAGAACATAACTCATTAATCTTTTGTCAATTGGTTTTAAAGTGTCAATTATTATTTTTAAAATGTTGTATGGATTTCTCCATTCCCTCAGCAAAAGTGAAAATCGGTTTATAATTAAAATGATCTTTAGCTTTTTGACAGCTGTAGTAATGATACGTGCCTGCAATACGAACTCTCATTGGAGTGAACAATGGTCTAATGGTTACCAAGGGACTCAGTAACCATGACACCCACCCTAGCAACACAGCCAGTATCAAAATGATGTGAAAGGGTAAGTGGATTGAAGGAGGAGGGTAGCCAAAACCAACAACCAGCTGGGATATGTAGCCATTGAAAGGGAGCGGCTCGTCATTAGTAATGTTATAAGCCTATCAATAATAATAATAATAATAATAATAATAATAATAATAATAATAATAAATTTATTAAAATAATAATAATGTTGTTGTTATACCTGGCCACACACAACAGAGTCTTCATGAAGAGCTTCCGCTGCCAGTAAGTGTCCATGAGTTACGTTTTCAACATAAGTAAAATCAACAATATTCTTACCATCCCTGGGGACAGTAATATTCAGTGAAAATCAGTCACTTTAAGACCCCCAGGAGGCTAAATTCATCCCCCAGGGGTCACTACACATAAATTCTTACCCAATAATGAATTTCATTTTCCCATTTTTTGCTGCATTTAGTACTACTGGTATGTTCTGTCTGTCGTGGGGGCCAAATATTCCATGGGGTCTGATAGCTACTGTCATTAATACAGGACCCCTTGACTCATCAGTGTTATTAGCATCAAGAACCAACTAATAAATAAATAAATAAATAAACAATCAATCATAGTACACATTTCCTCAGGTCATGTAGGAAGTGCTTCCTTAATATTAACAATTAAATAATAACAATGATAAACATTTCCTTCTAAAATTACAGGATAAGCCCCGCCCACCACACCTTCTCTTGTATTATCTTAGTTTGTGTATAATAGTCCATTGGAGGGTGAGCATAAGGTAAATCCTCAGTTCCATTCTTAATATCAGAACCATTGTAGACCACACTGGCTGAACTGGTCAGAACTAACCTCTATTAATAATAACAATAAAAATTGATATAATTATAATTACTTTAACTCCTGATTCTATACAGGACTCAATAAGACACTGTGTTCCTTCCACGTTGACTTTATTAAACAAGGACTCATCATTAGCAGCTGCTGGAGGCGAAGCATGATGGAACACAATATCACTGCCTTGTAGTGACGACAACAAATCCTAATAATATACAAAAATATACTGGTAATATCCTAAAATAAACAAGTATAATGTAACAGTTTTCTGAGACTAATACAGTACACATTATTAACCTGCTTGTTGCATATGTCTCCAGTATAGTAAGTAATGGAGTCATTAGTATCATCATTTCTATTGATATCAAACACTTTGACCCGGTAACCACTGGCCAGTAACTTCTCTACCATATGTCGTCCTAAAAACCCACACCCACCAATAACAGTACAGACCCTAGCAGGTTTATCCTAGCAGTAGGAGAGAGAGAGAGAGGGTAGTACTAAAGAACAGTGATATACTCACAGTCGCCATGTTTAAGAGAAAGAAGAATGGGCCAATGGATCAGTCGAGTGGTGTGATTCTCCATTGCATGGGCGTGGTCCAATACGCCCTTACCCACGTGGTTGCACGTGGGTAAGCTCATTCTACAAGACTAAGTGTTTGAATCTGCTGCAGACTGCTAA